GGTGGGACAAATCATTAAAAAAAAATTCCTGGAGTGGGTGGGAGAGCGACAGAATCTTGCAGGAGCGGAACTAAAAAATCCATCCCATGCAGAACTCTAGGTGAACCACCAAAAAAAAAATTTACTCAGAGCACCTTAGCAATTGCATTGCAACCACCCCAAGCACCCTAGAGTCAATGCAGCAAGTTTCGAACGGACAAATACCGTTATCAGAATTTTTTTAGAAAGTTTTGTTACTGTTGTAATTTTCTCTTATATTTCTTCAGCCCAACAGAACCCCGCTCCACCCGTCCCAGTCCGGCAGCAAGAGATTGCGATGAACCGACAGCAACGTTACTTCCGCATTCCCTTCATACGACCCGCGGACCAGTACAAAGACCCCCAGAACAAGAAAAAAGGCTGGTGGTACGCTCACTTTGATGGGCCCTGGATCGCCAGGCAGATGGAGCTTCATCCAGACAAGCAGCCGATCCTCTTGGTAGCAGGTGCCAAAGGCCTTCTTCAGCACTACCTAATGTTTTGATAAGATAAAACAGTAATTTTCCTCTACCGTGAACAATGAATTCTTCAGAATAGAAGTAGGATTTGAAAGATAAAACGGCTGAAACGGTTACTGGAAAATACTCTTATCTGCGGATGTGAGGTGTGTACCCAGGCATAGCGTGATGCCTTTAATCTTTTTCTGTACCCAGGTAAGGACGACATGGAGATGTGTGAGCTGAGTCTGGAGGAGACCGGGCTCACGCGAAAACGTGGAGCGGAGATCCTCCCGCGCCAGTTTGAGGAGATCTGGGAGCGCTGTGGCGGAATCCAGTACCTGAGGAACGCCATCGAAAGCAAGCAGGCCCGACCCACCTACGCGACCGCCATGCTCCAGAACCTTCTCAAGTGAACACCGACCGTTTTTCCTCTTGGTTTACGTTATCTATGCACGTGTAGATGTAGACAGTAAAGTGGTGTAGCTAAAACAAAAGGCTGTACAACTCTAGTGGAAGCAAATGCTGTCTAATTGACTTTTTGTTTGTAGTTTGTAGTTTTTGTTTGTAGTTTGTTCTTCATTTTGCTGTGAACTTAGAAATCAGTCTTCATACAAATCTGAGCCTTGCTTGAACCTGTTGCTCAGAGATGCCTTAAGATTTTCAGACCTAATTCATAATTCAAAGGGATGTTATTGAAATATCACACCCATGTAAACCTGCTCATAAATCAAAAATTTACTAGGTGTAATCTGTATAAAAAGGACATTTCAGTGTGTAGCGATAGACAGTTCTTTAAAACTACACAACATAGTATCATAATCATTGTATCAATATCATAGTATCACAACAATAAACACAACACTCATGCCTTTGTACTCTTTCAGTTGCATTATTGGTAAGGTGATGTGTGTCATTTGTTGCATATTAAAATACAATAACCACAAGGCATTCCCCTAAAAATGGCATTTTAAAATTGCCTTTGAGCGTCCTGACTAGCCCATGCAACATTGGCTCAATCAATGGCATGGGTTTAGGGGCGGGACTATCTGTTTATTTGACAAATGGCAACTGGAGGCAGTGTTTATGCCTTTTTTTGCAGTTCCATTAGCTAGTGCCGCAGAAATGACACTTCAACTTTTAAAAAATAAAATTCTCATAAGACTTAAATGGTCATTATTGTGGAGAAACATTTAATATTTTAATACACTGAATAACTATTCAAAGTATCTTTAATCTAATCAGATGATGGGGGGGAAAGGTTAATGAGGAACATGCACTGGAATATCATTAGGTTGTAAATGTGGTAATAATGGCAGTGTTGTTTCCAAAACATACACCATCTGAAATTGCCTTTACATATATTTGATAATGAATTGTATAGATGCACTTAAAAGCAGCTTCAGTTCATTAAAAGGGGATAGTCACTGCTGTCGTGCATGGTTTTGCTCAGCAATTTTGTACTTAAATCATGGTGATATGCTAAAGGGCATATTCATTTCTGTTCAGTGAACTGATAATGGCACCTTTGTTAATGATTTGCTGTGAATTCTCTCGGCGTGTGTGGTAGATTTCTCTCATTTTTACATTTATGTACCAACTCAAGGAGAAAAATTTGTTTAAATGAGCTTGTACTCTGGAGTGTCTCGTTATGCACTCCTCTGGCCCTTTAATATCTCATTTGGTAATAACTGCCCGAAGAACGGAAGCAATGGAAACAGCAATGACATTCTAAACATTCTGCAAACTTGGTACAGACCAAATTGCAGCATTTGATCAATTTGCTGTCATTATCCAGACTTTGTTTATTCATATGCTAATGTTTTTCTCCATTGAGCCCTTTCCAAATAAAAACGTGTCATCTCAAACTGTAAGTTTATCCATATTATAATTGATTATAGTTAATTATTTTTTTCTTGACTGTGTTTATCTTTGATGTGTCTGGGTTAAATATACTCTGATTTTCTTATTTTTGACTGGCCATTGTTACTCTGATCACTTTGCTAGACCAAAATAAACATTCCATATGAAATCTGGGTTATGTTTAGATCTTTGCCTTTGTAGTCATAAAGAGTTTTAGCATTACTCAGGGACCCTGACTATTATCTTTTAAAGTAATCATGAACGATTCTTCAGCACATGAAAATTTAAATAGACATGACATGAAATATTTACTTTATCTAAGATACCTTCAGAAATACTTTTTCTGTTTGATGTAGAAACAAAGACACCATGACCACAAGTCTGTATTTTTGTCTTTTTTTTCTCTCTCGAGGTGATACCCTTAAGAGTTACAGAAATACTTTACATGCATTTTCTTTGTTTGGGACACTGATGACAGACTAGAAGAGATTACTAGAATGTATTTTCTATTTGAGATACAACCCAATGTATCAATTTGTAAATAAATACCTCATTGTGAGGGAGGAAACAAACCTTTGACAAGGGTTCAAAGCATCCAACACATTACATGCCTCATATGCAGTTTACAATTTTTTGCAGATACAATTAAAAATAAGTTCAGGATGGATATAAGTCCTCATTCCTGGAGGTATTCCTTCAGTTGGCCAAGAGGATGGCTGATCCTTGAGTAAGGCGGTTGTATCATACACTCATACTCATCAACAAGAAACCAGCAAAGCTGATCGCATGAATAGCGCTGAAGAGCTTTGGTGCCTCGCTTAGCTTAAAAAAAGTGTCTGGACATCATAAAACAGTCACTTCAAAGCTGTCACTATCAGGACTCCTCAAAAAACAGCAAGAAGACCTGCTGGACCTCCGACACGTCTGTAATATACAGCATGAGGAAAAACAACCTGGTCATTCAAGAAAATTAAACACAATATGCACAAAATCATCAGCAGTTGGGTAATGAATAATTACCATACAACAACACCCTCAAGTGACTATACAGCGAAAGAATGATTCGTTCACAAACTGGACATCACAGGTAATAATGTTATACATATTCGATTTCTTGCACAGACTGATTGTTTTACTTAAGACCTAGTTAATATATGGTCAGGAGCCACAGGTATTCATTTTGTGTTGCCTGATAGGCGTTTTTTGTTTGTTTGTTTTGACTCTCAGACGGCAGCCATCGAATTGCATTTTAAGAATCAACATGGACTATGGTTTCAGCTAAAAACTTATTTACTGTTCTACTGAAGAAAAAGCTCTCCTACATCTTGGATAGCCTGAGGGTGAGTAAATTAAGAGAATGTATTTTGGGTGAAATCCCTTCAAAGGCAAATTAAGCAACTAACCAGCACTGCTAATATGTAGCACAAGTACGTCTGCAAGGTGTCTGTTAAAGATCGCTTCATCTGGAAAGCATCTGCTGTGTACAAACATCGAATAGATGTCTATAAGATGTGAGTTTTACATACATTCTAAATCATAACCATTTTTATGACGTTTATTTTACATCTGACAGGTGTTTTACTTAATAAGACCTAGTTAATATATGGTCAGGAGCCACAGGTATTCATTTTGTGTTGCCTGATATGCGTTTTTTGTTTGTTTGTTTTGACTCTCAGACGGCAGCCATCGAATTGCATTTTAAGAATCAACATGGACTATGGTTTCAGCTAAAAACTTATTTACTGTTCTACTGAAGAAAAAGCTCTCCTACATCTTGGATAGCCTGAGGGTGAGTAAATTAAGAGAATGTATTTTGGGTGAAATCCCTTCAAAGGCAAATTAAGCAACTAACCAGCACTGCTAATATGTAGCACAAGTACGTCTGCAAGGTGTCTGTTAAAGATCGCTTCATCTGGAAAGCATCTGCTGTGTACAAACATCGAATAGATGTCTATAAGATGTGAGTTTTACATACATTCTAAATCATAACCATTTTTATGACGTTTATTTTACATCTGACAGGAAACGTCCTGTATTGTAACACTCTAAAAAATACTTCTTCCAGATGTAAATGCAGACGTCAAACAGCAGTGAGCATGGTAACCATGGTTCATTTTCGTAAGGGTAGGCTACTAATGTCAGAAATCTCTATGAAAGTCATTATTCGATTGGGAAACACACTACTCAGGTCACTAGTGAGTCAGCGCATTGATTTTGAAACACAGCCATTGCCTTCATATTTTAGTTGTCAAGCTCTTCATTCTATTGTTTACACATCCTTCATAGTTTGCTAATTTACCAGTTCCACTGGAGGACCAACATAAAAGAGGATTACTTTCAGGAATAATCGATGTATTATATTAATCCACACTTCAGTCTTCAGTCAACTCTCATCCTTCTTGCCTATAAACAATGGCAAGCATGTAAGCCTACTTGACCAAATAATGCTGCTTCTGATTGTGCATTACATGCCAAGATATTTGTATAATTAATAACTCTTTTTAAATACATAAATATTTATCTGCGTTCTGAGATTGTGAAAGAAAAGTGTAATTTTCAGATTTGAAATGGAACTGAGCAGTGGCAGGAAGGACGCAACATTCCCAAAACATCTAGTTTAATAACATTATTTCCTCTTCTATATGATGGTTGACTTTTGATGGCAAAGATTTATCATCTTAACATGATAAATCAGGCTGTCGTGATTATTTATGGTCACTGTTAACATCAAATTGGTTGTTTTCACACCAGCTTACCTCGTTATGTGGTATACACTGATGGAAGTCAACCATTTCTGACATTAACTTTTCTGATCTTCTGGTGTAGAGTTGTCTGGGGATCTGGAAAAGGAATGACAGACCACCATCAATCTTGAACAGTTTTGCGGTGGACAAGGTCTTGCCAAGCAAAGAAGCAAGGTACATTTTTGGCACTCTATGATAATGCAGACTGTCAATATTTTGAAGAGCAAAACATCTGTTGCTGGAAAAAATGACCGATTATTATTCATAATATCATTAGATTAGACAACTACAGATGCACTACAGTCTAAATGAGATGCAAAACCCATGCATGAATTGTTTCTAGTATCCTCCTTGAAAAACATTTCTTAATGTTGTATCTTTGAAGGTTTCAGAATGGCATAACATTTTTGTTTGAATACATCGTGTCTGTAACTTGTTTATAGAAGAAAATAAAATAAAATAAAATCTATTTTATTATGAATACAGGTGCATCTCAATAAATTAGAATGTCGTGGAAAAGATTGTGTTAACACTAGTGAGGATACTGATGCATGGATTTTGCTGATGTATTTCTTTAGTCTTTAGTTTCTTCTAGACAAAGAAACACTCAACAAACAGCTGATTCACCAAAAGATACATATTTTTTGCATGAAAATAGTCTATTGTCAAAGTTATTTTTGAGTACATTGTTTTCCTATTCATTGAGGTTATTGAGTGCAATGTCTAAAGCCTGATTTTGAGGTAATTTGATCTAACATTTTATTTATTGATTCATTTATTTTTTATTATTGCTCATAATATATTCTGCAACAAATATTACACATATTCTCATTTGGTAGCTAATAAGAATCCCTGAAAGAATATTCTGTGCATCTATATTAATCTATATCAATACAATCCCTCTGAGGCCTGTTGCCCTACACTTTGGGTGAATGTCCCTTTAACTGGTTTATACTAAGATTATTATTTTTATTATACACTAAGATTATACATTTTTAATAAAAAGGAATATATAAGTTTCAAAAGTTTGGGTTCAGTAAGATTTATTTTGAAAGAAGTTAATACTTTTTATTCAGCAAGGATGTGTTAAATTGATCAAAAGTGACAGTAAAGACATTTATAATGTTAAAAAAAGATTTCTAATTCAAGTAAATGCTGTTCTTTTGAACATTTATATTCATCATAAAATCCTAATAAGAAATGTATCACGTTTTTTTACGAAACTATTAAGCAACACAACTGTTTTCATCTGGGATAATAAGAAATGTTTCTTGAGCACCAAATCAGTATATTAGTATTATTTCTGAAGGATCATGAAGACACTGAAGACTGGAAAATTACAGTTTTTTTTTTTAATGTGACCCTGGACCACAAAACCAGTCTTAAGTCGCTGGGGTATATTTGTAGCAATAGCCAAAAATACATTGTATGGTTCAAAATGATTGATTTTTCTTTTATGCCAAAAATCATTAGGATATTAAGTAAAGATCATGTTCCATGAAGATATTTTGTAAATTTCCTACTGTAAATATATTAAAACTTAATTTTTGATTAGTATTATGCATTGCTAAGAACTTCATTTGGACAACTTTAAAGGCGATTTTCTCAGTATTTTGATTTTTTTGCATCCTCAGATTCCAGATTTTCAGATAGTTGTATCTCGGCCAAATATTGTTCTATCCTAACAACCCATACATCAATGGAAAGCTTATTTATTCAGCTTTCAGATCATGTATAAATCCCAATTTCGAAAAATTGACCCTTATGACTGGTTTTGTGGACCAGGGTCACAAATTATATGAAAATATTCATGTTTCACATGTTGCTATTGTTATTGTATTTCAGAAACTTCTTGAAAATTTTTTTTTTAAATCTTTACGACCCTAAACATTTAAACAATATTATATTTTGGATGATGGTAGCATATTGTAGCATATTGTAGGCTCTCAGGCTACTAGACTTTGTTCACACTGCACACATATTCAGTTTGGTATTCAAATCCTAAAAAATTCACTGAGGGCCATTCAAAATTAGCTGTGTAGTCTGACAAAATAAAAATTCAGTTGAGTGGAATAGGAATGTTAACAGGTTGCCTTTTCTAGGCATCTTACTGTACATTAGACCTTCTAGAACAATTGCAAAAATCAGATTTTCACCAGATTTCAAATCATATACGGAATTTCATGAGTTTTGACCGATTTGAGTCAGATATGCAAAAAAAAAATCATTTTTGCGGTCTGAACAAAGCCTGCTGTAAATGTGACTGTTGTCATTGCAAAGATATTTATAACAAGAAAAGTTAGTCCATCCTCTCCACAAAATCTCTAACAAAGGACATAGATAGGATTTAATGAGAAATGGGATGATTATGGATGTTAGTAGTGATTATGACATTGATTTAAATAGATCATGAAAAAGACCA